ACCCAAGACTGTCATCTACGGCATTCTGGTCTATTTCCAGTCGTCTTGGCTAAGCATTGCCATTTGGTTCAAATAGGAAAAGAGAGAGAGAGATAGAGAGAGAGACAGAGAGAGAGAGAGAGAGAGAGAGAGAGAGAGAGAGAGAGAGAGAGAGCCTGATGAATTGAGCACTCATCCCTGACTTTAAACAAGATACACCCCAAGTCAAGGCTACTATTCAAGTCAAAAAGCCTTGGTCCTCTTCGCTTGCGAAGTACGAACACTAACATTACAATACACAGTCTTTAAAAAAAAAAGGGTTACACATTATATATAATATTCATTTGATTTTTAGGAACAACATTTTAAAAAAATAATTTCTTTAGTCTGAATCCTTTAACTATACTATATATATAGTAATAAAAAAAGTAATGCGTTCAAAAAGAAATTTGAAACAAAATTTTAACGTAAAAAACGGAAAAAAAGATTCGATCAAATTTTAGTGAGATCAAATTACCGTCGATCAATTTACCGTCGACGAAATTTCTTTCGATCAAATTTCCGGATAAGATATTTATATCATGCCGTGCATGACTAACAGTACAACATTTAGCAAGTACAAGGTCGAGGGGGCAGCTGGTAGGCAACCACCATGAACTTCCACCACTCAAAGTAGTCAAAGGGGTGGATAGTCACCCCTGCACTTATATACATTTCCTTTATTACAGCACAGTGGCGTAGGTAGTATTAGTGCCCCCCCCACACACTTGCGGGAGGGCCAAACTTTTTGGCGTCCCCTGCATTTGACCGAAAATTCCGCCTCTTCATTTGAAGAAGAAAAGAGTGCTGCCCAGGGCGATCCAACCGCCACCCCCCCCACACACACACACACCATTTTCTCCTCCACCACTGTCCCAGTGACTATTATATGTCCTCTTTTAATATACAAATTGCTTACCTGTGTACCCCACAAGTTAGGAAACACTGGCATACATTGAACTGTCTTCATTTAACAACATTGTACGTAATACTGATTTATAAATATACTTTGTTTGGGGTTTGTGAGAGAATGCCCGTATAAAGTTAAAGAGCATCCCAAAAAGGAAGGATGCACAAGGGGAGGGGGGCGGCAAAATTTGAATTTTTGAGTAAGTAATTAATGCATTTATATATATATATATATATATATATATATATATATATATATATATATATATATATATATATATATACAGTGGAACTCTCATAACGAGTTTAACGAAACAATTTTTCCCATACAAATCAATGCAAAATACGATAATGCGTTCCATGCTGAAAAAATACTAGTTTTTCAAAAAAATGTATTAACATTTATTCAAATAAAATTACTTATGAATTGTTAAGGAGTGTAACAACTTGGAATACAATTTAGATTTGAAACAAAAAACGTAAATAAAAAATATGAATTTATGACAAATAATTAATCCCTTTTTAACTAGAAAACTGTCTAAAGACATCTGTTTTTGCCGACGCTTCAAAATTTGACGAAAATGTGTCACAGCATTATCATTGCATAAATTTGTAGCGCGAATAGCCACGCTCACACCTTGTTCTCGCTTTTCAATGATTTTACGTTTCATTTCAACAGTTATTTTTTCTCTTTTATGATTGTCTTCTTGTGTTGTTTTTTTTTTCGAAGACATTTTGGCATAGGTACACTTTGTACAAAAAAAAAATGAATACTGTCTGAATACAAAATTTGTAAAAACTGGGGATCACACACGAAAACAATACGCTAACAGACCGATTGCTAAACACAGACTTGGGGTGGGGTAAGGAGGGAGGGGGCTGGCATAGCACAAGTGAATGTAAAAAAA